GCTATACTTAGCATTTGAGCGAGAATAGAGCTAGCCCTATTATCATCAGCAGCAACGACCAGTCGCGGATATAGTTCTTTTAGGAACATTATCGCACGTGGACTCCATGGGCCAATAGTCTCTACAGCAAATGGCACCAAAATGGAATCATCTCTCAGATCCTCATATTTGCGCCATTTACTTAGTTCAGCCACATGAGGTTCAGCTGCCTCGTCTGCAAGATATTAAAGTTACTAGTCATCTTAAAGGATTCTATATAAGATTTTGAATAAAAATATATTTTTAATGTAACTTACCGAGTGTTAATGTGCTTTAGCCGAATCGTAGCTCTGTGGCTAAGCGTTTGACTGCCGAAATTACATACCTCAGGTTCGAATCTTGTAGGAAACAGGTATTTGTATGATCTACAATTAATTGTTCCATGTGCAATTTTTGCATTTAAAATGCCTGTAAGGTACATTTATTTTACATTAACGAAAATTGAAACAAACCCCTTTTATAGGAACGTCTCATGTTCAACCGTAGACTGTAAATGGGTTTAAAGAGAAGCAAACTAGGTAGTTTATATAGTTATATCCTTATCTTTAATTGCCGGCATAATAAGAGAACTTGCTTGTTATATTACTATTGCTCGCTACGCTAGGCACACGATAATAGACGATAATAACATAGATATAAAATATCAAGAATCTAAACTATCGTAAAATCCATTCTTGAGCGTATAAATTGCCAAATGAGTAACTATTAAAATTTCAAGTCAATTGGGTGTATAGTTTTAGAGATATCGTGATGAGTCAGTCAGTGGTATTTCGCTTATATAATATGTCTAATGAAACTCATGTCAAACAAGCTGTCGTTTAATGCCACATTGCTCGTGTCGCTAAGAGCATTGAAAGCACTTTGTGCACTAATTAATAATTAGCGAGGCCTAAAAGCGAAATTATTGTGCTCAGGAGATTACGCGAGATCGACACAAAAGAAAACGTAAACGCTTTTGCCGTTGCCAGTAAAACTTAATTGTGCCTTGGTCTGTACGCCTATTTACGCACATTTATAAGAAATTATGCTAACGTTTATAAAAAAAATGTGAAAACTGCTAAAACTCCTTTTTAGCATAAATAAATCATTAAAAATGGGTGGCCATAAAATTTACTTCACGGATTATACGGACTTGTCTACCATTTTAACAGTGGTAGAGCTACGCGGCAGCTTTTGCTGTCGAACGGATGGGCCGGCTCGAACCGGGGTTGTACCACCACCTCATAGAAAATCAGCGTAAAGTAGAGGTTTACCTCTGCGTTTCGCTTGGTGAGTGCAGGTGGCCGGAGGCCCTTTTTACTGGAAATGAGGCATTTCATCTTAGTCCTCACGGGTGACAACGCATCTACATTTTGATTTGTAATAGAGGATAGAAGTAGATGTCTATGGGCCGCAGCAACCACTTACCATCAGGTGGACTGTGTGCTCGTTTGTCACCCTTATCCTATAAAAAAAACCTGACGGAAGATCACTTTATTTTATAGATACTTACACTTTACACTTACTTACATGACAGACATGTATGAAGAACTAGTTATTCATATGTGTATGTATGTGCTCGTTTGTCACCTAACTGATGCCAGTTTATATCTAGTAAAAGAGCACACAGTCCACCTGATGGAAAGTGGACCATACCCACATCTATTCTTAGTTAAAAATCAAAGTGCAGATGCATTGTTACCCCTGAGGACTAAGATAGAATAGGTATTCTATCTTAGTCCTCCATACCCCCATACAAAACACATTATGCTGCTATTTGATGCACAAATTTGACGCTGGTATTCTTGAGATTAACTATAATATAGGTAGCTACAGCGTAGCTATCACGTTAGAAATAACATAGTAATTGGTCTCCTTAAAACATAACATATGAGAAGTATTACTTCCATAACGAGCAATAAATCCGTCTAATCGGCAACATATGACAGCATATAAAGAAACATGAAAGCAAAATTGGAACGAGAAGTATCGAGACTATTTTGTATTTAGTTATTTAAAAATTTTTCTGCAACTCTAGAAATTTTAATACCATTAATTAATGAAGCATTGGCAAATCACATAAGATTTGGGGATGATCTTAATTTGTGAAGATTCAAAGAGTTTACGAGAAATGCTTAAACAATTTTTAGTCAAAAGTTATAAAATCGGACTATCTATTAATACGGGAGAAGGTTTCAATGAAAATCAACAACAACATCATGTAACATGTTGGTCGAATATACATATCTGGGACAGATAATCTCTCCAAAAGATCTCACAATAAAAGAAAACATCAACAGAATAAATATAGCTTAAAAGAGATACTGGCCTTTCGAAAATTGTGTAAAATATTTGGATACCACTCAAAACTAAGACGACAATAGACTAGAATAGAAATTTTTTATTTAGTATAGATTACGTGTAGATTCAGTAAAGATTCTTATTGAAAGTTATTTTTTTACTTTACCTCTGGTTCGGAAAGAAACCTCTATCCTGGGAAGAATCAACGAGAAACCCAGCGCGACCTTTTTTTAAAGTAAATTATACAATATGAAAGGTTGTACAAACTCTTTACAAAATTTATTTTTGAAACAGCTTGGAAGCGACCACCTCATTCCCAGGGGTTATTATCAGCCATGTATTCATTGATATTACAATAACCCTTTTTATACAGTTTTTGTTTAATAAAATATTAAATCTTGCCAATAGAGAGACCTTCTACAATTTCTGGGTCAAGAATGAATTACTGACTCTGTGGAGTCGAGAGACTGGTATCAGTAGCTTGCTAGTTTAAATATATGGAGGCTTCACTGAAGCGTTGCGTCGAGGAAAACAGCGAATTCACCAGGGCTCAGTTCTACCCCATTTAAAACACTTTGGTATTCAGATTTTTAACATTTGGTGTTGTAAATTAAATACATGTAGTTTTATTGCCGTTTAAATGTAGATTATTAACGTTAAACCAATGCACTAATTTTGATATAGCATTATTCACTTTGTCACATTTAAATGATAGACGTTTAAGTTTAAAATTAAGAAAGTATCTTCAGCAAATAATAATATGTCACGATAATCCCCTATAATAAGTACAATAATAAGTACGTAAGTGTCACCATAATAAGTAGGTCATAGTCATATAGACTAGAAATAGGAATGGGCCGAGAATTAAGCCTTGAGGGACAACCATTAGTATATAAGTGCTTTGTTCTTGACGCCATAGTACTGTAGCTTTCTGAATAATGTTTCTTGGTGAACACAGGCGAAAGCCTTGGAAAGGTCACGAAATATACCCAAAGAATCCTCTGAATTCTCCCATGCACAAAAATATGTTTAATAAGCACAACTTCAGCGTCAGTTGTCGAGCGACCCCTTGTAAAACCAAATTGATTTTTATTAAGTAATTTATTTATATTAAAAATGATCTAAAATGTTTTTATCAAAAATTTTACGAAACGTCGGTAATACAGAAATTGGTCTAAAATTGGCGGGGTTTAATGTAATATCAGATTTAAATATAGGTATGACTTTACATGTTTCATTAAATTATGATAGTATTCATATTTAATTCATGTATATTATCAAGCATACCTACTGTGTAAAAAACCAATTACCTCATATAGTTCCGTTGGTGTTGTCAGAGGCGACAGAGGGAAACAAATCGGGATATGGGCAGCAGCGTCTTATTAATAACGATCAAAAATAAAAAAACTGCGGTTTTCAACCCACCAGCCACTATGGCAAACGTCCTTCATATGAGGCAATTCATGGAGGAGGCTGATTGTTCAGCAGTGGAGTTTTTATAGTCTGTAATAATAATGATTAACTATCATCATTTAATAATACTACCAAGCATATCAGCCCTGGTGTTAGTCAAATCATAACATGTAGAAATTAGAGACCTATCAACACGATATGGAATGAAACATACTCAACATTAGAAATTCGAAAACTATTTAAGCACACATATAAATGTTATAATAATTTAATATTTTTTTGTTTGCATTTCAACCAATTCAATAGTCAAATTTCGACCAGACGCGATACTTGTTCTATATAAGCAGTAATTTGTTTTAATTAATTGACGTGCTGTTTGTAAAATTGTGGTACCCTTCTTCTTAGGAAATCTTAAGATTCTCTCAGTCTATTCAACCTCTCGACAACCTTTTCGTATTCATGGGTCCATTTATAACTTTAGCCCTTCTCCCTCCCCATTTGAAATGAATTCAATTTAAGATGAAATAAAAGGCTCCATTTTAAAGGCAGCATTCACATTTTTTATATAGAATAAGGATGACAAACGAGTATACAGTCTACCTGATGGTATGAGGGTGCTATGGCCCATAGACATCTACAGTTATCCTCGATTAAGAATCAAAATGCAGATGCGTTGTCACCCCTGAGGACTAAGATGGAATGCCTCGTTTCCAGTAAAGAGTCTCCGGTTTTCTACACTCACCATACGAAACACAGCTGTGTAACATTATTATATAGTTGGAAATTAATCTCATAATTATTTAAATAGAAAGAGTAATTCTTCGTAATGATCATTATTTTGTATCAGATTTTGCCTAGCAACCGTTTATGTTGGTCAAACGTGTTTGCAAAATTTTCTCCGTAAAATTTTAATTATATCAGTGTTATTTTCGTTTCAATCTATACTTATTTTTCCATATTTTAAACAATATTTCTGAATAGTCCATAAAAAATATTGGGCAAAAGTCGCACCGCGCGCACCGGAACTATTACTATCCGCAATAGTACTGTATTTTGAAAATTACAAAATTGCTACAAAATTATGCTACGAGTATTCACGCTCCACTGCTACGTACGAGTTCTATTACACACCGGCCACGGTAAGAAATCTCCACTAATCTTCTATCGCTATGGTACTTTTGAAGGACAATTAACAAATTCTCTAAGCAGTCTGCCCGCAAAATATAATACTTTTGTACCTTCTTAAATTATATAATATCCCTAGTACAATGATGCAAGACGACGACATTCCTATCTGTGACACAGAGACTAGCCCGGAGACGCGCAATGAAGTAACTCCACCGAATTATGTGTTTGGGCGCGTCAAAAGTATCACTATGGACGATTTCAACTAATTTAAGAATGAAATCAAATGTATGATTCAGTCGCTATGGGCTGCCCAACAGCAGGAAATCAAATGTATTGCACCGGCTCTGTTGGAAATTAAACAAGCAAATGAAAATATTGAAAGCTCTATTGCTTTACTGACGTCACAGGGTGCAGAATTAACTAAAACAGTTAGTCATTTAGAACAAAAGATAAAAGAGGGCAACGAATCCATAGCCTTATTAGAGGATAAAATTGAAAACATGCAGTTGACTCTGCGTAAAACGAACTTTGAAATAAAAAACGTGCCCAGGAAGGCAAACGAAACAAAGGAAGACTTGGTTCAAATGGTCCTACAACTTTCTACCACCATTGGGGCGGATTTAAACAAAACCGACATCAAGGATATATACAGGGTGCGTGGCAAAAGAGTACAGCAGCAAAACACACCCCTTGTCATTGAAACATCGTCAACTTTAATTAAAACGAATATTCTAAGGCTTTGTAAAGCATTTAATGTTAAAACTAAATCTAAATTGTGCACTAAGCACCTGGGCTTCCGAGTTTCCGAAGATACACCCATATTTGTTTGCGAACAGTTAACCGCCAAGGGGTCCCGTCTTCATTTTCTAGCTAGAGATATTGTTAAATCAAATCGGTACAAATACTGCTGGACCGCCTATGGCAGGGTATACGTTAGGAAAACCGACAACTCCCCTATCATAGCAATCAAATCGGAATCCCATGTTCAGCAACTCATAAATAATTATTGACTAGTTTTAAGCGTATATGTAGAATTTTCGCACAACAATCTACATGAGGATGACGGGTTGTACTACTTTGTTTTCATTTTGTACTTAGTTTTAAAATATTTTATATTTATACGTCGCTACTTTGACGTACGTTACTTATCCTGCAACACTTCCAAAATTACAACTACACATACACACACTATACACTGCACATACACATACATGATTATTAATCAACATAATATCCAATACTTAGTTTATTTACATAAAATCATCTTTGCTACACTGGCTCTAATTCTCACTGAACCAAATGGATAGTAACTTAAACAATATAAATGAGGTAGTTCAAATGGAATTTGTAGATTCTATTCAATGCGACATTGGAGACTTATGTAAATTTATTAAGGTTGACAACAGACATTTTTCACTTCGTACTCAAAACGTTAGTAGTGTTTATTGCAATTTCGATAACTTTTTGATTTCTTTTTTGGAACTAAAATTCTACCCTGATATAATTATTTTAACTGAGTGCTGGCTAAGTGATCACAAACCTATTCCAACTTTGGCTAAATATGACTTCTTTTTTTCAACCAGACACTTAAATAAAAGTGATGGTGTAATAGTCTATATTAAACACGGTATTCATGCAAATGTTAAAGAAATTTACCTAGAAGAGGCAACTTGCCTACAAATTCACCTAAGTAATAAAACAATTTTGGGAATATACCGATCACCTTCTTATACAAATTGTTATACGTTTATTAATTCACTCGATGCCACTTTGGATTTGCTAAAGCCGCATAAGTGTATTATTTTAGCAGGTGATATAAATATTAACACAATTTCACATACCAGTGAACAGAGCATAGACCGTGAGAACAGATCCAATTACCTAGATATTCTAGGTACACATGGTCTTGCTATGGGCCATAATTTCCCTACTAGAGATAATAACTCCTTGGATCATATTATGCTCAAATTAGAAAGTCATAGGGTCAAAGCCCAGGTTGCGGTTTTAAATAAGACAGTTACAGACCACGCTATGATTCTATTACACCTTACTGATAATAGTTTCAGAAATGAGTGTCAGAAAATCAGAACGCGGACAGATTATGATACAGCATTGAATGGTCTCAGAGCCATGAACCTTAGAGCTTTATTATCTTGTGATGATCCTGATCTGTTAACTAAAGAACTAGTTGACAAGATTTGTACGGCACTTAATGACAACACGAGGGATGTATACATTCCCAGAAATAAACGCATTATAAAACCCTGGATAACCCCAGGGATTCTACGATGTATTGGAAACAGGGACCTAATGCAGTACAAACTTCGAAAAAGTCCCCACGATGAGATTCTTAGAGTCACCTACAGAAGATACCGCAATTTCTGCAATAACCTTATTAAAAAACTAAAACGTGGATATGAAAGGCAGTTACTCCGGGATTCCACTGGTGACTCTAAGAAACTTTGGAATAATATTGCGTCAATCACTCATCTTCGACAGTGTAAATCAGACAATACAAAGCTACTTAATATTAAAACATCCCCGCAACATTCTGTTAATTTCATAAATACCTTTTTTGGGAATACAGGCAAAAATCTACCTAATTCTATACCTCAACCCCATGGATTACTAAATGGGGCCAGGACTGTGAGCGTTTCCCAAAGAAAGTCTCAATTGTCCTCATTTGTGCTTCTTGATGCTGACCAGGAGGAAGTTTACTCTATGTTGATGGGACTAAAAACTAAAAGCGCTCCCGGTTGGGATAATATTCCAACCAGTTTCCTAAAACTTGCTAGAAATGAAGTTGTACCAATCATCACACATTTATCCAAATTATGTTTTAATAAGGGAGTATTTCCAAAACTCCTTAAAGAATCAATCATAACTCCAGTGTACAAGAATGGGGATGGAGAAGATGTTAATAATTATAGACCTATCACTGTACTGCCAGCAATATCCAAAATTATTGAGAAACTTATCAACAAAAGACTTCTGTGTTACCTCAATGATTTTAACATCCTGTCTGAATCACAATATGGTTTCCGTAGTGGAAAAAATACAGAAGATGTGGTGACTGCATTAACTTCTCAAATTGTTGATAAACTGTATAGTAAAGCAAAATGTCTGGCAGTATTTTTGGATTTGAAAAAAGCATTTGACACTGTCTCTATCCCCATCCTTGTACAGAAAATGGAAGATGTGGGTATACGAGTTATTCCACTTGGGCTACTTAAGGACTACCTTATGGGGAGGGTACAGAGATTAAAAGTGGGTCATACTATAAGCGATCAAATGAATGTGGCTTACGGTGTTCCGCAGGGCAGTGTCTTGGGCCTAACCCTTTTCCTTATCTACATTAATGACCTCTGTAACATAAAGACTGGGGATGCCAGTATCTTTTCTTATGCAGATGACACTGCTGTGGTTTTTTATGGATCATCTTGGACTGCAGTGAAAACTGAGGCTGAAAATGGGTTATCAGAAATTGGTGAGTGGCTTAGAACTAATCTGTTGACACTAAACACCCAAAAGACTAATTACATGTGTTTTTCAATTTTAGACAGTAATCAACCCAGTAATGATTTAAACATTCAAATACATATCTATAATTGTGATAGTGATGCTAACTGTCGCTGTCCCTCTATATCTAAGGTAGCATCAACTAAAATCTTGGTATTATGCTAGACCAAAAACTTTCCTGGCAGTCGCATATTGATCTCGTCGCGACTAGAACACGTAAGCTGATGTGGATTTTTAAAATGCTGAGACATGTTGCCGACAAGAAACTTATCAACCAAGTGTATATGGCTTTAGCTCAACCCATATTAACTTACTGTCTGACAGTTTGGGGAGGGGCTCTAAAAACTAAATTTCTCGTGGTTGAACGGGCTCAAAGAGCGTTAATAAAGGTGATGTATTTTAAAAATCGTAGATTTGCAACACAAGCTCTATATTCCGTTGCTGATATCTTAACAATTAGAAAACTATATATTCTCCACACTAGTAAAAAAACACAAGTCATTAAAATTTGATCCGAGCATATTGCATAAAAGAAGACATAATAATGTGGCCACAGTTAAACTTACTCATACTCAATTCGCAAGAAATCAATTTCAGTATTTGTCATCGTTATTATACAACCGCTCCAATCAAAATTTAAATCTATATCCAGTGACGAGCAGGGAATGTAAAATAAATTTGACTGTTTGGCTTAAAAAACTACAATACACAGAAACTGAACTTCTTTTTTTTTTTTATAGGAGAGGGGGCAAACGAGCATGCGGCTCACCTGATGGTAAGTGACTACCACCGCCCATGAACAACTGCAACACCAGGGGAATCGCAGATGCGTTGCCGGCCTTTTAAAAAGGAGTACGCTCTTTTCTTGAAGGTCCCTAAGTCGTTCTTAAATGATAAATTTATCTAGGTATTGGATATTTGGATTAAAAATCATACATACATACGCACACATCCATGCAATCATGCTCACACCCACCCACCCACACACACACACACACACACACACACACACACACACACACACACACACACACACACACGCACACACACACGCACGCACACACGCACGCACACACGCACGCACACACGCACACGCAAAGTACTGCACTGCCAATCACGATGTGACAAAGAGCAACCTCTTCGCAACATAATCTTGTTTGCTTTTTCTAAAAGAATTAAGTTTCCTCTTACGTAATGTGTACAAGAAGGGATTGGAATAATTGGTCATCATCTTCAGCATACTCTGCGCCGCCAGGTCGGCCAATGTGGTCGGAAAGGCTGGTGCTTTCGAGTACTTGTTTTTCCTGGCCCTATAAACGGACTCCTCCTCCCCTGGATTTCATTACACAGGTGGAGTTGAATGCCACGGAGTAAGGCACGTCTTGCCTGAGAAGTAATAGGGAAAGGTATTGTCCTCTCTCGAGAAGGGGCTGCTATGGGGCGGTCAGCGCTGGTGTGGCTGCGCTGTGTACGAAAGCCTTCCCGTGGTCCTGCTATCGGAATCGGCAGGTGGAACATCATTGGGTTTAGTCAGATACATTCCCCAAAAGAAAAGTAAAAAAAAATCTGTGCAACACAACTTACCACCGTCAGGTGGGGAATAATAGTCAAGCAATGAGTTATAATAATTTACTTACTTACTTACTTACTTATCTTCACGCACAATCCCTGTCGGGGTAGCCAGAGAGAACAGATCGCCAAGTGTCACGATCCTTACAAACCTCTTTCGCTTCTTTCAGATTCATTATCTTCTTCATGCATGCACGTCTAGGTATCCGAGTACTCTTGACCCTACCCTCTTCGAGCTATAAACCATGTGAGCAATTTGCTCACATGGTCTATAATAATTTAAAATAAATAATACTTTCTCTTAAGCTATTCATGTCGTATAATACACACTGATTATTCTATGCCGTTGGCTCTAACATTTTGTAATACAAGAACAAGCATCCGTTTTATACTCGCGGGTGTCATAAAAGGCGGCTGTGTATTTACTACCTGTCAATACTTAGATTTTGTATTTTCATAAGGCTTTTATTAATCTAAAATCAAATTAATGAGTGCTGGATTTCTAAGGAAAAACATTTTGTAATTAATTAATTATTAATAGAAATATTTTATAAATAGTTGTTATTAAAAAAGGTAAATACTTGTTAAAAATAGCCCAAAAATAAAAAGCTGATTTTCAGATATTATACAGCATCGATACCGACAATGAGGACATCCACGACTTTTTCTGGCATCAGGGCCGCACCACCAGAAAGTGAGTTATAATATTTTACAGATTTCATAGCGGGGAAGTTAATTTGTTCGGAAAATGTAAAAAATATTGTTTCTTTTTGTACTATTAGCTATATTTTATATTAATAACATTAAAAATAAATAAACCAAACCACTGATATTCATAAAAGTAGGAAAATTAAATAAAAAGTCAAATATGTGCAAAAAATTAAAGAGCTAATCACTTACGCATTGTTTTGTGTATTAATAT